AAAAAAAATTACATCCCATTTTAATTAAATCTAAAAAAACCTTCCCCTTAAAAAAATGGAAAAAAAAAAAAAAAAAAAAAAAAAAAAATCAGAAAATACATAAGGCAAAAGGTTTCTCCAAAACTATTAAAGTTAATGAATGGAGGAAATATGTTTCCCAATACGGTAACAAAAATGCTCAAACTAGATCTTTAAAAAAAAACCTACCTTAAAATACTAAGAAAAATACACAGTAGAAATATTAGAAATTAAACTATAGGACAAAAATATTTTTTCACATGCTTCTTCAGAAAGACATTAATTGTTTCTAATGATATAGAAAGGGCTTTAACATTAACATACATTTGTCTATCTAACTAATATACAGTACCATAGTTTGGGTTGCGACCCAAAAATGGGAAGGGAAAGGGGAGGGGATGACAGCAGCAGTGTGCAAGCTTTTCCTGCCCCTCCCCACTCCTGCATCCAGCCAGCCAACTGGAAATTCCAGTTAAGAGCATTCCAAATGGTGGAATGCCGCATAACAGGGATTTTACTGTATTTCAAAAGGTCATGAGCTGTGGCAGGGCACAGAGGCAGCAAAAAGGTTCTTGCCCCTTCCAGTGGGGGAAGGGGGTTGGGGAGAGCTGCACGGTCAGGCTGCTTTCCGTGCTTGTAGGCCTGGGGCGGCTGGGAGATGCTGCTCAGGGGGCAGGAGGGGCCATGACCAGGCTGTCTGGCATGGTGCACCAGCCCCAGCCCAGGGCAGGAGGGTTCCACAGACCTCTCCTCCTCCTCCCTCCAGCCCATGCCAGGGGTGTGAGTTAGGCCAGAGCACAGTGGCTGCAGCAGCTCCAAGTGATATGGGGTCAGCTGGGGAGGGGTAGTGGACTGTAGGTCAGGAGTGAGGGGCATCAGCATGGCCCAGGGGGATGTGGGTCAGAACAGGCCATGGATCTTTGCAAGTGGGTCCTGGTAGGAAAAATGTTGAGAACCACTGGCTTACAGGACTCAGAGCAAGGCGCAAACTGGCATTCAAGCAATCCCATCCCTTCCTACCCGGGAAATTTTGATGCTTTGACTATGGTAATATCCTTTAGAGGAGAAGCCTGTGTCAAACACTGCCCAAGAATGTATTAAGAGCTTTTAAATCTCGATGCACTTCAGTATATAATACAGGTACAGTTCAATGGTGCCAAGGTGAAGCTTCAAGACCTATTGTGTTAAATGAGTAGCTGTCAACCTTTGGATTGTTGAATAACAAGCAGCCAAAAAGTCATCCTTTGACTCGCATCTCACAAGTCACAGTACCTACACAAAACACTGAGAAAGGTACCTAGCTGTGTTACTCAGTCAGAAGGCATGAGAAGGTAGCATCTTAGGGACTTTCTGATCCAGAGGCATAATCTTTCATAGGCAACAGCCAACTTCATCAGATGCTTTTTTAACCTCCCTGGACATTTCATCACTGACCTCAAAGTAGTTCTTTGATAACAAAAATTTAAAACAAACTCAAACAGGAAATTGCAGAACAAGAAATCATCCACAGACTTGATTGTGTTTAGTCTAAACAGAGACCATGAATTCTTATCTCACTGCCTGAATTAGCTTTTACAACCTGCTGAGGGACGTAAAGCATAAGTGCTTTGTTTTTTCTCTTACTCACCCTTGCCTCTCTTGGAAGCACCCCTTTTCTTTTCCTTCCCACTTCCCTACCCTTTATATTCTAATCACTACTTTCTATTTAGCAGCTCTGATTTCTGCAGTCCCTTCACAGCATCTGATGAAGTAAGCCCTCTCCAAAGCTTATGCTTTACATCTCTGTATTTGCAGCTATGTAGACTAACTAAATCTACCCTGCCTTCTTCCCTCGGGATGACACTGAAATTGTCAAGCCCCTTATGAATGGCTTGTCAGGAGATTAGAAGATCTTCACTAGCCAAGGAGTTTAGATGCTTTTCATGATCACTTTCAAATGAACATACAGGAGGTATTTATAGTGTTTTATACCTCTCCAAAATTACTAATCAAGTCAACAGAACACCGCAGATTTGAAGTGCTGTTAACAGATATTAACTATAAGGATAGCTTAATTGAAGGAGTGAGGATAAAACTAAGGCAATGTTCAGTTAGTTAACTCAAACTTACCTGTTGTACGCACTCTCTCTAGTTTTCCTTGTTCCTTTGCACTTCCCTGAAGTGTTACTAAAAGATCAGTTGCTGTCAAGTTTTCTTTAGCATCAAACCAGTGTCCATATAGTTCTTGACTTTTTCTTAAATCTATGCAGTTAAAATTAATTTGAATACATGAAACTAACTTTAAGTAATTGTCGAAGGCTAGGAGTTGTGATGCCCTGAGAACTCATTTTGATTCTCCCATTGACTTGCTCCGACTCAAGCATGTAATTTGTCTTTTCTGTTTATCATCTGTAAGCTAGGCAGTTGACTAAGTATTTATTCTATATGAAGTGATTTTTAATAGACCCATAAATAGTACTTTAAACACAACTGAAGAGGCCAATCCCTGTTCCACAAGAGAAATAAAAGTAAACAAGGGGGATAAAGGAAAGAGGTTTACACCAACTGAGGCCAATTTATGTGCAACATGCACAGTATTTCAAATGTAAAAATAATATTAAATATTACTTATATTGGAGTTCATATTTTGTCTTTTTCCTGATAAACTGAACAACAAACAGGCCAACAGAGAAAGAGAAGCATTTTGAAGTTTTAAATCCACTGCTATTTATAAATACATGTTATTTAAACAAACAGCATTATTTTAACATTAATCCTATTCCTTAACCCTGCTCAGTCTGCTAGTCTGGAAAGATTCCAGAAAATGACTTCCCTCATACATATGAATACCTGGCAGTACTCACTAAATTACACTGAGTATATATACTAAGGGACACAAAAGAAAATTGATATATGAAGCAATGTGCACAGGTACCATGGGACTTAGATGCACTTACTCTTAGATAAAGCAGGATTTTTCAGGTTGTTGCTAAAGTAGTATAATAAAGTAATAATCTAAAAAATGTAAAAGGGGAAAGGATTGTAGTAAGAGACATTAGTTGAGTTTGGATCTGTTTTGAGTGACATGCAGTAAACACAGTCCCAAGAAACCAACAGAATGCAAAACAAGTCTTCAGCTCAGATATGTTTATGACTGATGTAAATGGACCAAACCCTTAGTTTTCCTTGGATGGCCATGTAAGTAAGAGGGGGAAGGAAGGGAAATGGAAAGGGGCATGGGGGAGAGGGAATAAGTCCACATGCCCAAAGGGTCATTGGTATTCAATGTAATTAAAAAACCCTTGGATTTGGTACAACTAACTTACCCTTTTCTACATCTTCATCTTTATAGTTTTCTTCAAAGGTCCTACTTTTAAGTTTACGGCTATCTGGTAAACACACCTTCTGAGAAGCAATCTATAATACGTAAGTAATTGGATCATATGTAAGTTGCAGTACTTTTTTACATAAAATGCATGTTTTACTATATTAATGTTTTCTGACTATATAGTATATAAAACAGACAAGCTGATATCTTATAGAAGTGTTTTGTTCACTAATCATTCTTAGGATACCTAATCATTTTCAAGTTTTGAAAGCAGTATAACTCTTCCCCACTTGATGCTAGTTGTATTGCATATTATTGCTAGCACAAAAAATTCTTGGCTGGGATATAGTGTTCAAAGTTCCATGTTTATATACTACTCTAAAAAATCTGTCTACATATAAGAACACATTTAAAGTAGATTATCAGCTGCTTATACGTTAATCAACTAAAGGCTCGTGAAACTCACAGAAGAGGGTGCTCCTGTCAAGCTGGTGGATGTTTCAGTCTCTTTAAGTTTTAATGTTTCCATTTCTGAGTTCCCTGGCTCAACACTGTAAACAAACAAACAAAAAGATCTAACAATTTTGGCAAAAGTACATAAGAACAGTCATTTATTGGGTCAGACCATAGCTTTGTGCTCAGTATCCTATATCATGCAGTGGCAGAGCAGATGCTGAAAAGGAGTTAACTAGGTACGACCAGGGTTTTTTTCCCCACAGTTCCGCTCTCTCTTGCAGCCTCCAGTATTTATGGTCTACCTGGATTATAAAGCTCAATAAACACCAGTTATATAGCATAATTTTCAAAACATATATTCTCTATCAATTAAATGTTTTCAAAATAAGGAATAAACACACAACTTATTCAAGGACGCTTTATATTTTAATATACTTTCAAAGAAAAAGAAATGTTCTCTAAGCATGTTAAAAGGGAAAAAAGTAAAAGCATAGTTTGTCTTTATTGTTTAAAAAAAAAAAAGACTTGCACAAAATTCATAACTGAACAATTATCCTTCAGTAGAGCCCAAACAATAACCTACTTTAGAAAAGGTCAGAAACTACCTGTTCCAAAATGTCCACACTCTCCTTCCTTGTGAGAGGTCAGCAAAACTGAGTCCCTTTTGCCAAACTATTTTCCCCTAAGCTTCTCTAATAAGCAAATCCAGCTAATGTTAAAGGTGGCTTGCTCAAGAAAAAGTTGAGGGAGCAAATTGATAAAGTGCTTGGAAACTTGTATATGATGGTTAAAGTTGTTGGGGTATCTGAACCCTAGTATATCATAGTTGTGATAATGGAAAATGAAGTGTCTGTTCAAGAACGAGCAGAAGGTACACACTGTAAGGTGGCTTAACTTTTCATTCCATCACTTTTGTAGTTGTGTTTAAGAGAGATATTGTTCTGCTTCTACTTAACCCTTAGCACTGGAGGCCCAATGCTGTTACAGAAAAACTAGATGGATTCTTTTCTGTCTTACATTTAACAACGGATCTTATTGTGCACCGACTGCAAAAACCTTTATTACAAGCCAGACATACAAGGCAGCAACAACACAACTGAAGATTCCAGATATAGTTTTCAGTGATGACAGTTGGGAAAAAAAAAATCTCTCAAACTGAGAAAATTTATTTTGAAAGTAACAGCAAAACTCCACTCTGAAATATTATTATATTACCCACCAAATTGCCAAAATGCCATTTCAAAGCACACTCTCACACAAACATCCAAACACTTGTATTGTTTAATTTCACTTCTTACCTCTTTCTTAGCAAAATACATAAACAAAAATTGTAGTGACTTACTCATAATGAAGATCTTCACTTACTAACTGTCAAGGAAAACAAAAAGATTTGCTTTATTTTTTCAATAAAAACAAAATTCCTATTGGCAAAGAGGCTGTTTTAAAAACTAATTACCTTGGATGGAATGTAAGAAGAAAAGATGGAGAGCAATTTGGACTCTACTGATAACGGGGGCAAGGCATCTAACGGTATGCCCCTTACTAATTTCTCTCTCATATTTTTGTACCTAACTTTCAGTTCTTCAAAAGCAGACACTAAGTTGACAAAGTCACTTTTTAAATTCCTGTTAAAAATAGAAAACAAACACTTCAGGTACAGTGGGGAACTCGTATTCCATAATTTTTTTTAATCTGGATCTTTCGATGTGTAGCTTCATACCTAATTTACTTCTTATTATGTAAACTCTGTGCTGAATATAGAATTATTAAATTCCTCACAGCCTTTTCTATGGTGTTTGTCACCATAGTATCTGACTTTCTTCTGGTAGGTGATGTGAAGATGCATTGATTAATGGACATGAAAGGTAGTATCATCATCCCAACTTACGATTAGGTAAGTAAAACAGAGATATTAAAAGTCAAAGGTTAGAAAGTGGGCACAAAAGCTGTAGGTGGACAAAATAATTACACTGGTTTAAAGTGGGGGACCTGCCACTTGCAGCTAACGTGTTGTTACTGTTTCAGCTATCCACTCTTAATCCTGTGGAAAACCAAGGCACTTTTCATGGGAATGGAACGGCTGCTAGAATACTTTCTGTTGCTTCTACTTGTGGTGGGATACAGGAGACACAGACCAACTACAAAAGAAAAGCCTAAGATGCAGCAAGCTACACTTGTTCCCACCCCTGTCAGAATAACTGTTTTATCTGTCCACATCCAAAATTTGGGCCCCTAACTTGACATCTTTAAGGCATTATATTTTAGAGTATTTAACGTATTTGTATCTATTACTTGAATACTGTTGGAGGGCAAACCAAACTAGTTCTGCCATGAGAAAAGAAAAAAATTTAGTATACTAAATATCTGACATGGTGGCACTTCCATTTTCCAATAGTGATAAAAAATGCTCTGATAATTTGCCACTATCTACCCATTATGCAGACGTTACACTCCAGGAAAATATTTTCACCAGAACCAAGCCAAACTGGTCCAATGGGTAAGTCTTAATCAGTAATAACCTGAAACTGAGAAATGCAGTGGGTATGTGATTATATATCACAACTTTATGTATAAAAATGCATACAAGTATATTTTTTATAGCAATAAACAATTTAATTAGATTTAAAATATTTTAATTCCACTAAGGACTACTGCTGCCCAAATGGAAAGAAAGTGTTTGCTGTTGCTCTTTTTATGTTAACAAATGGCTTGATTTTTCACATTCTAGAGAACATCCTATATCTGCGATATTGCAAAAATCATACGTGCCTGCTAAAACACTCTTTTTCCTCTGTAACAAGTTTGTAAATCTTCCAGCAGTGCTGACGGCACATCCAGTAATGAGTTTGTAGAAGCTGCAAATCTGCTTTTATAGCTCTCTGCAGCATTTTCTTACAACAGTGTGATGAGCAACTCTCCGTTTCTGTGGTTAGGTGCAACATCCTTTAAAAAGAAAAAAAATATTTAATATTAACTAATGAATGTAATTAAGAAATATTTTTCTCATTACTTGATGCATGTGTCATTTTAAACTTATTTAGCTTTTTAGAAACTACTTCTGACCACAACTTGGGAGGGAAACCTGAAATTTAAAATCAATTCCTACTATCCAGTACAAGGAAAGCCAGTATACCTAGGGACTAGGTCTGGTGAAGCAGCTAGTATTTGCTTTGGATTTGGATTCGGCCGAATCGGGAGATGGCAATTCGAATCACTGTCCCGCATCGATTCAGCTGAATCTGATTCGGAGATTTGGCTGCTGCTGAATTGGCTGAATCTCCGAATCAAACAGGCCCCATCCCCTGCCCACTCTCCCAGCCACATCAATGGCTGCCCCACCCAGCCCCAGCATCCCGGCTCTTTTAATAAAAGCCCCCACTTGCCAGCTCCTGCCTGGTGGGGAAGCAATGCCCGCTGTGCCCAGAAGCTCCGACAGCTGCTGCTGCAGCTGGTGTGTGGGGCTATTTTTTTTTTTTTTTTTTAAAGAACCAGGAGCTGGACTGGGCAAGGCAGCTATCAACAGGGCTGGGAGAGTGGGTCGGGGGTAGGGGCTCATGGCAGAGCACCCCATGCAGCGTGGGGATCGCCCCCTAGCCCAGCAGTATCCAGTGAGTGCGAGGCTTTTTTAAGTGCTGGGATGCTGGCACCAGGCAGGGCAGCCATTGACATGGTTGGGGGGGGGGGGTCGAGGGGCACTCAGGGGATTTGGGGGAGCAGGCAGGGGATGGGGCCTGGTGGGGGTCCTCCCATGGTCCCCACCCCACTCTTTCAGCCTGCCCCCTACTTACCAGCACAGAGTCCAGGTCAAATTTTACAGCCTTTTTCAGAAGCAAATCAGGACACTAAAAAAAAGTGCTTCTTAAGGTGCTGGAGGGGAAAGGCTGTCTAAACTACGGAGATTAAATATGGCCAACCACAAAGAAGAAACAAGGAGAACAAAGGCACATAGTAGACAGGAATGGATGAAAATAGTGAAGACAGCCAAGCACCTCTACGGCCTATGGTACTATATTATTAGTAATAAAAAGATGTAGTAAATAATAATAAGTATCAATTCATAAAAATGACAATTAATGACAAACCTCTCAGGGCTTCCCTTCGTTTCTCCAATATGCACATTATTTTTCAGCTTCAGAGGATCCTGGAAATAAATCACTGTAATTAAAATTATACACCTGCATTTTCTTATATCAAAATCATAATTATACAAGTAATTCTGAGTAGCTCAGTGAGCTCAAAATATTACCTTAATTTGGGAAATCCATTCAGGTGTTGTGATACAAGTATCAGTACCATTTACTCCTGTCTCAGCAAGCTTTGACATAATCTCCTCTCTGTTGCTGTGTATGCATGACAAATCTGTATTACAAGCAACACTTGTATAGTTCTCAGTTTGCCACTCCTTGGGCCTTGTTTTATTCATCATTGTTATCTCTGTGTTATCTGCCCGAGATGCCACAGAAGCCTTGGCATTAGTAGCTCTGCTTGTTGTAAAACAAGCCCTAAAATCAGAACTTGCATCAACAGTCTGGTTAATGGTTACTTTATGATTACATGTGGTCTTATTCAAGCAGATGAGGCAGTTTTGTTCTAAGTCAGAACCCCTCATCATACTATCCCCAGCAGATTTGTCTCTGATTTCTACACTAGACAAATTACTTTCTCTCACTGGAATTCTGGAGGCTGCAGATGAAAAACTGAATTTGGCTTCAACAATCTTTTGGGTACAACCATCACAATCAGTATCAAACGCAGACAGAAATGATTCTTCACAAATATAAGAACTTGTATCTTCTGTATTTTTGCTAGAAATCCATGTGGATGTTACAACAGATGTTTCCCAGGGTAATATGCAAGGATTTCCCTGCTTCAGCAATGTGTGATTGAGGCCATCTCTCTTTTTAGGTACTTCCTGTTCTTTAGCTTTTGGGGCTGATCGGGCATTATCAAAAACAGGAATATGCTTTATCTTGTCTTGATTTTCTAAACTGTTTGCTTGAAGTGCTGTTTGATAAGCCCTTGCTGTGCTCCCACAAGCATTACTTTCAAAGGAATTTTCACAAAGAGTGCTATGATACATCTCATTGGTTTGTTCATTTTCACATTTCACACCCTTATAATCCACCAGAGGTATGGAGTCTTGAACAAACATTTGGGGGAGTTCTGGTACAGCTACTTCATTACAAAATTCTTCAATCGTACTGTGTCCAGAGGCAAAAGGGTCTTCTCCATCAGCTGTAACTCTACAAATTGGATTTACCAACTCCAAAACTTCCAAATTCTGGATCCCTGAAGTTTTCTCATGCTCAAAAGACATATATGAGGTAGTTTGATCATAACAGTCTTGCTCTTCAGCACTATGGTACTCTAACTGTGAGTCTTCATCTGTCTCGTTTTTGTGTCTGTAGTCATCACACTCCTTGCAACTGAAATGTATATTGTTGCAGGCCTCTCCTAACACACAAGCTTCATTTCCATTTTTGTTGCCACAAATATTAGAAACACACTCTCTCCTTTTATTATAGTTATCAAGTTCTGCATCTACTGATGAACTTAAACAAGACAGGCTTTCTTCTTGCAAGTTTAATTCTGAAAAACTCCTGGAGCATGTATGGTCTGAAATGGAACAGTTAACTCCATTAGATTGGTCTGTTGCAGAATATGCCGCAGGGTAGGCTCCTGTTTTGTTATTAACAATGCTATTTGCCCTTTGTTCCATGATCCAAATATCAGGGTTACCAGCAGAAGTAATCTACTCAAACTCAGCATCCTCTAATTCACTTTCACCATACAATGTTGAAGTCAGCAGCCTGGTTTTAAATATCAGTATCTCACCTGATTAAAAAAAAAGGAAATTCTAATCATTCAATCTAATAGAAGCATATTATACGTAAACATACTTCAGAATGAGATGTAGCACTATCATGTTTTGTCCACTGGGTTGTGATAAAAGCTAGGGTATGCTTAAAAAACAAATCTCACTATGAAGAATCAGATAATCATATAGAGAATCATATAAAGAAAAACCACTATTATTGAGTTAAAATGCAATGGAAAACTATTTTACCCAATTGATTCCAGCTTTCTTCATAATCCAGCTAAATTACAGTTTCTTGAAACTTGTATCTACTGTCAAGTACACTGCATAATGTTTTAAATAGTAATGAATAGAATGCATTTGCTTTTATGCATCAAAGTAATTGACTGGAGATCCAACCCTTAAAAGTAAGTGAATAACTTTAGAACACTCAGTTATGCAGCTGAATACTGACTGGGTGCATCTACATGTGCTATTAACCTGACAATTAACTGCAGCACCGTTTGCGCTAGTCAACTGCTCCTTAGCGCAGTGTCTGCACATGCACCCAGGACCACAGCAGCCTGAGTCACAGGAGGGTAAGCCCTGGGCTGGCAGTAGGTTGGTAGGGCAGACTGGGCATGGGCTCCAGACAGCTGCAACAAGGGCCTGGTAGCTGCAAAGGGAAGGGGCTGATTTTTCCCTATGCTGAGCAGCAGCTTCTGCCCGGCTGCTACCATTGCTGCTGCCACTGCTCAGCATGAACAGGCAAATTCAGAGTAGATGCGGGGCAGGCCAGGAGTGAGACTGGGTGCATGAGTTCCAGCTGGTTCAGAGCTGATCCACTCCACTGGATCAAGTCCACAGCAGGCCAGGGTCAGAGCTGTGCACGTGGGTTCCTGCCAGTACCACAGGGCTAGGGCCAGTGGTGGCATCAGCCAGGAGCCATTGCCTTCACTGCCTAGAAAGGCAGTCCAACTGTGGAGCCATCCCAGCCCTGCTGTGCGCCCAGGAGGCGATGGAGCATGCAACAGGCCAGACAGTACGTGGGCCAGGCACGACAAACGGACCTGCTGCAGACCGGACAAAGTCCCTCTGTGGGCCAGATCTGGCCTGCAGGTTGTTTTTTGCCCACCCCGGATTAAAATGTTAGAAATAAAAACTGAATACTGGAATGAATCATAAATTTGGGGAAATCTCAAAACTGTTCCATACAGAGACCAGTACTAAAACAAATAAAGTAGAATTCTCTCATCCTGAGGAATAGCATTATGGTTCTCTAGGACTGGTAATCCCCAAGCATTCACTGAAGTATTAATCCTCTGAAAATTGGATCTCCTGGCCCAAGCATTAAGATCAATTGGTCAGACAAAGGATAATAATAGAAAGGAGACTGATATTCGAGGAATTCAAATTAATTCTGATCCAACAAATCATTTGTTCCCAGCTTGAAATAAAGGCTCTGCTGAAGAAGTGATGTTCTCAAAAATTGTAGGCCTGACAGAAAAGACTTTGCAAACTGTCATTAAAATAAAGTGTACATGTCTTGATTTAAGATGTATAGAATTTAGCTCAAAAAAACGACTTGGGGACAGCATGCCAAAAACAGCTATATAAACAGCAGCTAAAATGAAAAAAAACCCCCATATATTAATCTAACTTTATTAAAAAGTTTACTAATTTGGTTAAAGAAACTCAGTCAGGAAATGGTCATGCTATATTTAGGCTGCCACTGTACTATATTATCCTTATTTACACATGTTTATGACTATGAAATATTCATAAATAGAGCTAATACTAAATACTCAGGCAATGCTTTAAAATGTTCCAGCTTTGGCACATAAAACAAGGCAGGTTTTATTAGCCAACATCCATATAGCAGAACAGAGGAAAGATATTTCAGAACTTACTACAAAGTAAATTTTTCCATCTTATCAAATTTCATTCACTGTATATTCCATACTATTTTATTTCTTCCATATTGTCTATTTTTAATGAACTAGGGGATATAATTAGCTTACTCCAGTAATACACAGTAATTTATTGCCCAAGAGCTATAACTATATATTCAACCCCCACATAACCAAAATATTAAAACTCCAGTGCATGCTATGCTGCACATTCTCAACTTACCCACTGAAAAATTAACATCAGTAAAACACTTTTCGTGGAATTTCTATTCATATTTTAAGTATTGGTCTGTTGACTTTTTCACTGTATCTTCAAAAAATTGTCAGAGTTGTTTTGGATTTCAAAAATCTAAAGAAGTTAAAAGAATAAATGTGTACTACAAAATTACAAATGAAAAATTAGTTATCCTATGTAACGTCATTTATTACCCTATCATCTCATACCAGCATAAGAGAATTTAGGTAATAAAGACAGAAAAATTCCTTAATGCAATTATTTGGATAAGATTTTGAACACAGAAAAAAGTCATGAAATTTTTTTCAGTACAATCATTTTCCAGTCTCCTTGCTTCAGGTTCAATGTGGTATAAAATAGCTGTAGCCGTTCAAGTAAGTTTTTCATGCTCAGGTTAAATTTGCCCTTAATAACTTAATTCTAGATCTTAGGCCTCATCTATGCATGTTCACAAGGGCTGGACGGTACCAGCAATCCTCTACTGTGAAGGTGCACAATATATCTAC